AGTTATTGCTGTTGCCGCAACAAACAATTCTCACCTCGTCCAAGACGACCCAAAATAACTCGCCCCCCCCCCCCCCCCACCCCCACCCCCACTGTTTATAGGAAGTTTTTCTTTTGTAGTAATTGCAAATACCAAAAATTTTGAATTTAGGCTTAAACTGAATCAAGGGTATTATGTTTAATGTAGTGCTTTGTGCATCCCTTAGGTGAATTGTTATGTACTTTAAGGCTGCCACATTTTTGTGGAGTTTTTTTGAAAGAAATGTGTAAAACATCAAATTGACTCAAAAATTTTGTAAAATTGTTGTAGATTTATATGTTGTTCAGGACGGGGAATTGCTGTGGAATTTTTGGCTGTCAATTCCCTCTCCTATTCCTTGATGTTTCTTATAATGTGGTTCCTAGCAGTATTCAGGGATGTGAAATTCTGGTGGGTTGGTGGAAAATGTTGGCATGTCTGGCAGCACTAGTTTTGATTACTAAAGAAACATGAGCGCATATTTCCACACGTTCATGTTTACCTTTGGGCTGGAAAAGTCTGTGGAAGATGAACTGAATATCGTACTCTCTTGTTCACAATTTTGCGATGATGTGTGATCTCATCATTCCATTATCAAATTATGGAATCAGCAATTTCTATTTTCTACGCTTGTGACCCATAAAAAGACGATAAATTATGCCATAAACTGACCTTGATCCGAGCGTCGAGCAAGGAAAAAGTTGGGCGGAAGGTGATCTATGATTCATTTACGTGATCTTTTAAATTGTTTTTTTTTTTTCTTTTTCTTTTGTTTTCTTTCTTTTTTTTTCTTTTGTTTGTTTGTTTTTTTTTTAACAATAATTGAAGATCATACGCTCGTGGCAAAGGAAGAAGCATTTCGGTACTTTTTATTGCCTCTTAATTTCCTCTCTCATGGACAGCACCCTTGTCCAATAGGCACATGGGAATGTCTTTAGGTATCGTGAAAATAGAAATGCTCGTTTCTTGTCTTACCATTGAATGATCTTGACACTTCCTATTGTCGACTTCTCAAGTTAACTCGGCATTGAGTTGGAAACAGTTTTGACATTCATACCGACTGAATTGAAGTTTCTTAGAAATGTTCTCTTTTCCCTCTCGCGAGTGTTAGAAAGGGGTTTTAATAGGGGTTAAAGCAGAGACGTTTTGGAGCGAACAAATGTTCGCGCAAATAGTCCTATTAAGAATAAGTACTCTTGGCAATACAAATAGTGTCTGTCAATGGTAGTGTCAAGGCATTTTGAAAGGATAAGACCTCACTTTCGGTTAACCGGCATTTCTAAAAACAAAACAACAACAAAAAACGCCAGAGGTGCAGTCGTCTCCGCGTAACCCGCTCGGCAGGAGCAGGGGTTGATGAGAAGGGAATAATGAGGAAGACTCTCACCCTCGCTTTCCTTCTTCCCATCACACCCCGCGCACCACTAGGGAGAGATAGAGAGAGACGACTGGGGACGAGTCGGGTTCTTGAACCCTTCAGTCTAAACGAGGGTTGAAATAAGCTTGTGACAGTTATCACTTAAGCATTTCTTTTATGAGAGTTGCATGTTTTCAGCCAAATACTCTATTTAATTTTTGGTTCATAATTCTTACGAATCCTCATCCATTTATTTTTCTCTGAAGGAAGGGAGTGCTGTGAACTCCACTATTCTCATTTTAAGTGAGCGAAATATTTAAACCAAACAAGAATATATTGATTTGTAACCGCTTAAAATAAAAGACGTTTCTATAATTATTTTGTCAGAGCAACAGTAACGATTTGCCAAATTGCTACCCCTGATACAATGAAATAATCTTCTATTAGTTCCCCCACCGGGGCTTATTTATTTCGAGCACGTTTCATATTGGGTGTGGGGAGGGTGGTGGTGAGTGTTCAGGACTTGAAAAAAAAAGTTGGATTCCGATTCTTATAAGCAGCTCTCACATATCGCTTTTCCGGGGCCACTTGTTTCTCGTCTTAGTTAATAATTTAGTTAGAAGATGGCTTGCTTAGACCCTTGCCATTTTAACAGTTACTTGCCCAGCAGGAAATTCTTCCTGTCCTGGACGACTGGACAAAACTTTTTTCGAGCCCTTTGCTCTGGGGTTGGAGATCTTGTTTAATTTAGCGAAACAGGGCGTTAGCAGGGGCGGACAGAGGATTTTGTGATAGAGGGGGCCTAGAGATTCAGCATACAGTGGCAATGTGGGTGCGATAGCGCCCATCAGGACTGCGAACGGCGCCCTTTCCTAGGGAGTTTCGGGCGCATGCTCCTCGAGGAAAATTTTTGAGACTGAAGTTCTCTGAGATGCAATCTACTGCATTCTGGACGCTTAAATTTAGCCATGGATAATAGAAAGCCAGCCTTTCTATTATCCATGCATATGACTGTTAGCAAACGCCTGGATTCCATATTGGACATGTAATGCTGAAATATTAAATAACGACAAAAGGGTGGGCCGGGGCCCCCAGGGCCCACCCCTAAATCCGCCCTTGCCTACACTACTTTTTCTTACAACCATAAGTTGGTATCAGTCCTCCTTGAAGTGATCTAGAACGCAAAGTGGAAAAGCTCGTGCACATGGTGTTAGAAGTGCCACAGCCGATGGTGAAAACAAATCCGAACTTCCAGCGCGCGAATAAACCATGAATTGTTACGGCCGGAATTACTTCATACAGTTTATCGTCTATTAACTTGGTTCTGAAGAATAAGGATGGCGTGCACGCAGGCGTCTGCAATTTAAAGGAAGTGGGATACATTTGAATTAAGTTAAGACCACGTGACTCAGAATCAACCAATGGTACGGTTTAGTTAGTCTAGGAATTTTACACATTTCTCCGTTTCAGATTGGCTCAAATCTCCCTGCTGATCGGCGTTGACAAAATTTGCCGGACATTTTCGATATCCGATAACAATGACGTCATTGGTACAGGCTATAGCATGGAAAAGGCACGGCAACCGGGAAACCCTGAGAACGAGGTTGCGTTAGCTCAGTTGTTTTGGTAGAGCTGGAGAAACCAGCGGGAACTTTGACATGTTTTTTTGCGACGATTAATTGGATTGGGCTTACATCTGCTGTGAAGAATTGTGCAGAACTTGGAGGGTGTTATCCGCTGAGACCGTCGATCTGCACATCAGTTCTTTACGGAAAATACTCCCTAATAATAATAATAAGTTATACAGTGGAGAAAATGTTGCCTTTACTTGCAGAGGGTCAACGGCTTCGCAAAAAGAGAAAAACGTTAAGACACCGGTCTGTAATTTTAGACTGAACTAGGGTGAGTGTTCTGCGGCATTTTGTAATAACGACGCGTTTTGTATTAATATAATTATTACAATTTGCGTCAGACGTTATTACAATTTGCCGCGTAGACTAACGATTACAAAATGCTGCAACTCTTATTACAAAATTCTTCGTCATTATAAAATGCCGCTGAACAGTGAGAATTTGGAGAACCGGGCGCGGCCGCACTCCCTGCAAACGAAACTTCCTAGGAGTACCCCACCCCTTCCCCGGTGAGTATGTTGTAATCAGGTCTCGCACAATCATTTGCTGGACTTTCGAGAGTATTTTATTGTCATCACTCAACACACTGATGCATTTGGAATTAAAGCTGTTTCTTATTAGAGGCCGATCATTTAACTTTTGAAGGTGGGTATTTTAGAATTTTAAAAATATCCTGCAAACAGATTTGGATCAAAACAATCATGCTTGAAGTTTTATGTTTATGCAAAAAATCGGGGAAAATACTCGATCGCAATTTTCAAAAATATAAGCTTGAGAAAAACATTCTTGCCCAACCCAAACACCAGCCCTCCCTCAAAAGTGAACTGGTCGGCCCCAAAGAATGGCACACTTCGACATGTTTTTGTTCCGGGTTCGTATGAAATCGAAAAAGATTTTAGAACAGAAGATAGGGTGATACACACGGGATCTTTCGAACTCAGATCGTAACTAGTACATGTAGATTCTAATAGAATTCGCTAAATGAGAGATCTCACACAGAACTGGACTTAGCATTCAAACTCCAAGTTGCTTCGTCTGGCAGGTTAGTATCATTACTTATGCGATAAAGCGCGTCTGTAAACCCTAGATTTACTGACCAAGAGCATAAAGCAATCTTATGTTCATGAAAAGTAAGTGAAATCAAAATCTAGAATGCAAACGAATGTATAGTTTGTTCAATGTAGGACGCTTCACAACCATGAAATAAACGCCTGTTTTCTAAAACTTTTAAACTTCACTAACTGAAGTGTTAAACGCTGGACACTTCCACGAATTCACAAACTATTTTGTGGTACCGCCAGTCTTTCAGCTGACATTCACGGCCACAGTATCCTCGCTTGAAGCACGCTGAGCACTGGAAATGAGCCGGTGTACCACACGTACAGAAAAGTCGTGCAGATTCTGTGGACGGGAGAAAAACACAATCCATGATACACGTGTTAAGATCGAGGTCCTTCTTTGAACGTTTCGACAAGGGATGACCAGTGAAGTTTAAAAAGGAAATTTGAAATTTGAACAATTGACATGTTATTGAGTCTTCTCTTACTTCTATTACTATCCAAACCTGAGTGGAACAATTGAATTTTTACCTCGGAAAATAGGAAACGGGGAGCGGGAACGGGGAGCGGGAAAATGAAAAATGGGAACAAAGCTAAGAATTGGAAAAGAATTTAATGATAGGGCTAAGGTTCAAGTTTGGTTTTGTTCCCATTTTTCATTTTCCCGTTCCCCGTGCTCGTTCCTCGTTCCGCATTTTAATAACATCCCCTCGGACAACTCGTAAGTAAAACAAGCTAGCTCAACGGGTCCTTCCACTAATATAACCCCAGATTAAGTGTATGAAAGCGGCGTGACAAAACCAACTTCTTTTACATAACAATACTGATTGCGTTAAAGATAATTTAAATTTTGATTGCTGAAAAACTTGCCAAGGATTTCTTGAAGAAAAAAAATGTTCCTTAGTTTTCTTACCTTTACTTTTATATTTTTTTTTCACAAAAATAAACACCTCTCGCTTTCTACATTTCACAGCCCACATTCTCCATGCAACCTCACCTTTATCATTATTGATTATATTTCCGTGGCAGGAAAATAATTATTCCAGCAGGTTACAAAAGTGAAATAAACTTTCAATACTGATACTACTATTACCTTGCTCATTGGTAAATCTAATGATGACTGACAAGTTGTATATGCTTTTAGTTGCTTCTTCCCTCGATGGTTCAACATCCGCCATCATGGCGTCCTGAAATAGGAAGAGCTTGCTTTGAAGGATTTCCGCAAAGTCTTTCTTGAGTTTTTTACGGATCTCGCTCAGTGTTGCGTTGCTAGGAAACTCGATGAAGCCGATTTTGGTGAAAGGTTTTCCGCTTTCACCTTCTTTCACGGTGTTAAGAATGTTGACAGGTAGTCTTACGGTGTACGATTCCTCTATGAAAAAAGAGAAAATATGAATTTTAGCAAAACGGGGAAATGAAGCAGGACACTTCAGAATTTACCAGGCAGACGTACAAAAAATAAACAGCAAAAATTTCGCGACAGCACCATGTTCTCCCGCGAAATGATATCTGAGGAACGCCTGCAGAAATTCCATACTGATGACGTGTCACTACCCAGATCAGGGCAGTGTAGGATTAGATACAAAACGCCGGCACAATTTTGGGCGTAATGCTATACTCCGAGCATCGAGCGAAATGCCGGCATAATGGGCACTTTTTTTTAGCATAAAGAGATAAATAATAATGACGATGAAACTAATATTTCCATAAATGTTATGAGCCATTTTCACTTTCAAATGCTTTTATTAAGAAATTAACTCCTTCAAAGGCTTGGTTGCTACTTTCAAGGCCTGGTTGCGCCGTTGCATCATCAAGGTTAGCGTTAGATAACATCGAGTGAAGCTAGATTGGACACGCATTATTTCCATAATGGAACGAGACTGGAATGTAGAATGAGGCTAGAATAGCTGAAGAAACCAAAACTACAGAGCGCCAGTTATGGAGAGAACACAGTAGAGAGTTAAGCACTGATCTGCAGTGATTAGGGTTAAGCACTGAACTGAAAACGGTTAGCTTTCAAATTTTAGAGCATAATGTATCTAACCCTAGGGTAGTGCGTGTGATTGGTTGAAAATTTTCTCCAGGGCAACAATTTTGAGAAAGGTCCATAAAGTCTACCGTCATGTAATGTATAGATTTAGCCAAGGCTAAACGCGAAGCTCTCTTTAACATAAATAGTTTACTCAAACAAAACATAAAATCGTGTAATGCTAAAGAAACGGTGAAGACAACGAAAACGAAAAAAAAAGCAAAACAACAACAAAAATAGGTCTAATTAGCAAAAAACACAACTTTGCAAGTGCAGCACACTTTTTTGGTACATTTCTTTGCCGTTGTCTTGCACAACGTGAAATTTCCAGAAACTTCCTAGTTACACGTTTTATGGAGGAAATGTTTTATGTGTTCCGGTTCCCTTTTTTTTTTCACTGCCGCTCATTTTCCCCTTGGTGGCCGCTTGCATCTCTCATTTTCTCACCGCCGCTATAAAATTTTCATGTTTTTCTTCAAACGAAATTGGTCTCAATTGTTTTTTATTTCAGCTCTTACGATAAAGTAGACATTAAAATTTAGTCAACAGAAAGATTCGGCTTTGTTGATGTTTTTTTCCTTTATACGTCGGGGCGTTTTTCTTCCCGCCAAGAAAAGCGCGGGCAACCCATGGCCCAGAAGCGCGATTTCCCGCCAAAAAAGGACGTTTCCACCTCCCACTCGGGCTCTTTTCAAACTCCCTTCCCCTCCCCTCCCACTCCCCCAGAGTCTGTACGTACGGGTGGACGTACGCTGACGTCACAACCAAATTTTCTTGGATGGATAGATAGCCAAATTGTCTTAACAATGGGGTACCGCTATAAAATTTTTTTGTTCCCAGGACAATGAACACCTTTGTGAACCCAATACCTTCTATGGTGATGTCGTTTCCGTCGTAACTGTTTCCTACAAATCCTGGCGGAAGAGAAGTAACACTCACTTTGGGTGTACTGTGGCCTGAACCTGACCGGGTCGAGTCACCTGACTCATTATGAGCTGCAAATAAATGAACACAAGCTAAATGAGAAGCCTTATACAAGAAGGGGACTTACGGAAGATATTTTTCGCCAAAATTATAGTAAAATGCACGGAAGGGTCATGGAACAGGGCCCCGTTATAAAAAATTCCCTTTTCCTCCGTCTCTCATCCCCCATCCGTTATAGTCAGCGACTTTTTCAGACACACTTCATTCCAAAAGAGAACAGAGGAAAGACAATAAAATACTGATGGTTATTATATAAATTTTCAACAAACTCAGTCTTACATGAATGTCTCGATCCGCTTTCCTGTGACTTCAGCTTTCGGTACACCACAGGTTTATCAAATGTAAATACCTCCGAGCCATGGTCCTTATACTTTGAGCCGCTAGTTGGAGGAGACAGAGATCTCTGGCCATTATCTGCCAACTTTGAGCCGCTAGTTTGAGGTGTCACAGATCTTCCACCAGAGGCATGCGTGTTAGCAGACGAGGTCGGCCTGCTTCTGACCGCAAGCTCTTCGTCAGATGAGTCACTCGCGCTCATGCTGTTTTGAACCATCAAACATCTTTTATTCGGTGACTTGCTGCGCCTGGAACTTTGCGGGGTCATATCGAGAGGAGAGCCTTCAGCGGATGAAGTCTCTTGAGTTAGAAGCTCACTATTGCTTGAGCGCTTGGTTTGAGGTCTTCCCACAGGCGAAGGCCCCCTCAATTTTGAAGAGGGCACTAGCAACTGAGGGGACGGTGGACCTAACTCCATTTGACGTCGTATAAGCGCTGGAGAGCTGTCACCAGTCCAGGCTTCTAGGGACACTTGCGAAGACGTGGATTCTACTTGCCTTGACCTCCGTTTGAAAAAGTTCTCTTCCGGTTTTATGATCTGCACCCGGGGGATGCGTGGCGATGGTACTGGAGATGGGAATGCATCATCGTCTGAAGAGTGAAAGTTGTCATTGGATAACCCGCTGAACAGAATCATCTCATGATCCCTCGTCTCTTCGCTCATGCGAGAGGTTGAACGCGAGTCGAGGATACTAATTTTACTTGCGCTCTTCCATTTAAAACCCTCCTTTTTTTTCATCAAACGGTTCTTGTAGCAGAAACAAACCACTGTAAAAATAACAGCAAGGGTAACCAACACGCAAATTCCAACAATGGCACCCACAGGAAATTTGGAGGCACTTTCGTCGGCTTTTTCGGGTTTATCATTGCCTTGATAATCTTTACCTCCAACGCGCATGACTGGTTTAGCTCGATACTTGGTGTCATTTACTTGCAGGGTGTAACCAGACTTAACCATGTCCCACAATTCAAGGAGGGTATTTTCCATCCGGGATTTCGGGGCGATGACGTCAAAATACACTATGATACTCCCTGCTGCGAGTCTGACTTTTTCAATCTTTATTAGTGGAAGTCGATCAGTAAAGTCCTTTATCATTACTTTAATGAAAGTTTCTTCTTTGCCATGGACGTCTTTGTAATCATTTTGAAAGACTATCATGACGTTGTTGATAACTGGTGGGTCTTGGCAAGACTCGTACGACTCCGTAATGTTAACCATTAACTGTGGCGAGTGGCCATTCTTTAAAACCCAGGCCAGATTAGGCGCCAAATTTACGCTCAACTCAGAGGAAAACATCGGGGGACGAGCATATATGAAATACGGAGTGACTATCGGTTCCAGCCGCTGAGAGTCTTCAGTAACAACAATCACGGACAGTCCCATGTTGAAAATTTCCATCTGCGATTTTTTGGCCTCTATGTGAAAGCTGTCACCTCGACTCTGAGCTTTTACAATGCCTCCAAATAATTTGCCTAACTTATCGTAAGTTCTTACCAGTTCTCCAGCATCGAATTCAGTGTTTTTGAGTTGCGAACTTAAGATAGTTTCTCCACTTGCAAATTCGAAGAAAACTTTAGTGTTGGTTTCTGGACTCCCTGATCTTTTGCTCAGCTTTATCGTAATTTTAAATTCGCATTTGGTTGTCTCGTTCTGGTGGTCAGGAGTGGTGACGCGCCAATTACGTATAAAACGGGCCATGTCCAAATTTGCACGTGCTAATAAGAAGGCGTCGTTTCGTTCTACATCTCCATTGACATTGAAGTCCATCGCCGTTACCTTTAGGACAAACAAAAGAAATACTTTTAATGGCGTTATAGTTATGTAAAACTTTAATTCCCGAAAAACGAGATTTGCGAATGTTATCGGACGAGGCAAATAAATAATGATGTAGAGGCAGCACACCAACATAGTGGTTCAAAGTCTACCTGACTACTGGTCGAATTGGAATTTAGAAATTTTTATTTTTGAGGGGAGGGGAAAACCAACAACAAACTCAACCCCTGGTAGAGCCGGGAGGCGATGCGTCCGGGGGGACTCCGCATATGAAAGGGATGGGGATGCTCGTCGGAAATTTTGAATTAAACCCCTAATGGAGACCGATCTGGGCGTGGCCCAGGCGTTTTTTGACCCCTAAAAGAGACGAAAAAAATATACATATCAAATATACATTTTTACACTTTTTTCCCGTGCAACCCTAAACGAGACCTTCACGGCTAAATATGATGACATTTTGTCCAGAACACCCTAAGTGAGACCAAAATCCGAAAGTTAAACCCCTAAGCGAGACGACGAGCATCCCAACCCATTTCATATGCGGAGTCACCCCCCCTCCCCCCCCCGGTGATTAGCTCGTATCCCCTCCCCAATATGCCAAGAAAGAAAATATCTTATTTTTTCTTTCTCAAGAAAAGGTAAAATAGTTTAGAATAAAAGGTTGGGATGCAGTGGGAAAGGGCGGGAGATTTTAACCAGACTACACCACCTAAATGTTGCACTCTCTCTGTTGACAGTGCGTGAGCGGGTCAATAAGCTGTTGTATTTTGCAATTTCATAATCGGAAACCTTTCATTCGTTGTCACAAGTCTCTATTATTTATTCATTATTTAGAAGTTTATATTTTTTCCGGTGAAATGAACTGAGACATGTGATGAGACTTTGATGTCTACGCGTAGATATTATGCATGAAGTTTTATTACCATTTTTGCAGTCGTTTTCTTGAACAAACTTTGTTCAAATTCGCCAATAAAGTTCCTTTCCTGCGCCAAACTGTAAGCCATCGTATAAGCGGCGTCCTGAATATCAAACACGCAATCTGCGGTCACATCACCCAGCGGCAGCTCCGCACATTGCTTGATAGCTGGTGTGTTGTTGCCTACGCCGATGAAGCCAAGCTTTTGGTCAATTAACATGCTCACCGAGGCCTGAATGTTAAGCACTCCTCCAGATTTGGTGTCGAAAATCAAATCTGCAATATGCGAGCTTATGTTACCAGGGTTCGTGACGTCGGCTAGATGTAATTGTCCCTCCTTGTGCGAGTAAACCTTAGTTCTCTTTATCGCAGCAAGGCGAACTTTGTTGAAGTCGTATGATATCTTTACATCATATGCAAGAAGTCTGGACATTCCAGGATTCACGCGTACAGGGATTGCAATTCTATGGTTAGCCGATATTGGTGGCAATGCTGGTCCGACCTCCTGGCCAATATCAACACCTCCAACTGGTGGGACGGTATTGCAATAAAAGTGCACAAACTTTTGTTTGGCAATACCTTGAAGTGGTGTTACTTTCACGGTCACGATGTCACCATAGTCTGAATTTAACGTGACAACACCAGACTTATAATCAACGGAAGCCGCTTGTGCGTTACTGATGGTAAAGGTCACAAGATCGGAGAACTTGACAAAATCCTGGATTCTGAGGACGGAGCTGTCATTCATAAGAAAATCCCCATGAATCTGAGCCTTCGTGGAATGTGCAAGTCCAACGAGAGTCTGATTTCTCAGGCCATTTAATTCCACAGCGAGGATATGATTCACAGATATTACATCCGTTGAAACTTCAAGATGAAAACTTGGGGATATTTTACCAGAGAACTTTCCACAAATGCTGATCCATCCAGCAGCGCTTTGTTTGTCTGCTGATAATAAATTCTTAGGATTGGGACCGAGGGAAACTTTAACTCCTACGTCATTGCCGACGACTTCGAACGATGCAGACGTCATCATGGAAACGTCATAGGTAGAATTGTCAGTCAAAAGGAGGTAGATCTGTAGAGCAGCCTGTTGGTAGTTTCCAAGGTAACTACCAATTCGCTTTAAAGAAGACAAAGTGACATTTGACTGATTGACCAGAGGATAGGGTACCGCTCTCAGTTTTAATGAGGAATACCCAACAACGTCTATTTTAACGCGGACATTGTGAACGTTATGAACTCGAACGATAAGGACGCCTTGACCCGGCAGACCAGCGCGATTTGCTTCTATGACCTTCTTTCCGTCGATCTGGACAATTCTGAAGAGACCACGTGATTCGGAGTTGTCGTCAAATGTCAATCTGCTGTCTGTAGGTGATAGCTTTTCTCGTTTTCCTGTTAGGCAGGGAAGATATAATGGTGAAAAAAAAATTTTTTTTCTAACTTATACTTATGGGGCAGGTTTTAATCTAATTGACAGCTAGAGGTAAAGGTAGAGGCATACACGAGCCAAAGGCCCAAACGACCGGAGCTTATCCCGGTTTCATTAGCATGAAGCACCTAGGAGTATTGCTACTCCCCCCTGGACGGCGCGGGATGCTAGTCTATCGCAGGGTTACCCCCCAGCAGTATGTCGCCGGTACCCATATATACACCTGGGTGAAGAGAGACAAAGGGGACTAAAGTTCCGAAACAACGTGACAGGCGAGGCGTGAACCCCGGACCTCCAGATCCAGAGTTCGAGGTGTTAACCGCTCGGCCACACACGCCTCCAATTAAAAGCTAGAGGAGAAGGATAAAAATAACCTTTGGCCAATGCAAGTACATACCAAATTTCATAAATTTTCCCCATGCTTGAACTTAAGGGAACCTTTTGCAGTAAAGCAAAAACGAGTACATTGGGCGTAAAAAGTCGACGGTTCGGCGTCATCGTAACGTCTTTCTCAAGACCAAAAGCCGCAAATTAAGCGAACTTGTTTAATGAGTTTCAAGACTCTCGTGCTTAAGTAAATCGCTGTTGATTAAGTGTTTTGTCACTAACATTTTTCAGTTCATGATAGGTGTTGTAGCTGTACCTAGTTTTCTCAATAGAACGTGACTGCATTTTTGGTTTCACTTACCGCTTTCATACAGCAGAACCACTGATATGGGGCTACTTGTTGCTACTCCAACCACCTCTGCTGGGTCCCCTGGGGGCGTTATCCTGTTCCTCACATCCTGTATCAGTACGTCCACCCCTCCACTATCATTCACGTTAGTTAGGCGAACTGTTACTTTGGCAATGGTAGAAAGCCGCTGGGCAGGTGGAGCGTTGTCGCTAACTCTTACAGAAAGGGTATACCTTACGACTGTTTCATAATCCAACTCATTATTTATCGTTATAACACCCGTGTTGGAGTTAATAGCAAACTTATTGTCTTCATTGCCGGAAAATATGGAGTAAGTAAGTTGTCCATCTATTCCATAGTCTTTGTCTGTGGCATTAATGTTAACAATTTTAGAACCAACAGCAATGTTCTCTGGAATTTTCACGTAAATACTATCCGGGTGTTGAAGTTTTGGCGCGAACTCGTTTACGCTCTGTATCTGTATGGTAACCGGAACAACGTTGCTAAGCGATGACGGGGAGCCTTTGTCGTACGCCTCGATGGTGAGGGTGTATAGCAGATCTTGTAGGTGCTGCTGTGTTTCCAGATCAAGGCTCTTTTTAACTTTGATCATTCCAGTGTAGGCGTTGATTTCAAAGAATTCATGACTGTTACCAGACTTGATTTTGTATTCAATTTGTCCATTTGTCCCTGTAACATTAAATTACACCTTTGTCAGCAATAAACGACAAAACTCTGATTTCTCTATTCGGTCAGTACTCTACTGAGTCAGAATGTTATATACCTCGAACGTAAATAGCTAAGATAAGAAAGTTTCTTTATTTCAAGTGTTAATGTGCAAACGTATGCAGCAGCAATAAAAGAAAATCCAACCAACACCCACNGTTTCATAATCCAACTCATTATTTATCGTTATAACACCCGTGTTGGAGTTAATAGCAAACTTATTGTCTTCATTGCCGGAAAATATGGAGTAAGTAAGTTGTCCATCTATTCCATAGTCTTTGTCTGTGGCATTAATGTTAACAATTTTAGAACCAACAGCAATGTTCTCTGGAATTTTCACGTAAATACTATCCGGGTGTTGAAGTTTTGGCGCGAACTCGTTTACGCTCTGTATCTGTATGGTAACCGGAACAACGTTGCTAAGCGATGACGGGGAGCCTTTGTCGTACGCCTCGATGGTGAGGGTGTATAGCAGATCTTGTAGGTGCTGCTGTGTTTCCAGATCAAGGCTCTTTTTAACTTTGATCATTCCAGTGTAGGCGTTGATTTCAAAGAATTCATGACTGTTACCAGACTTGATTTTGTATTCAATTTGTCCATTTGTCCCTGTAACATTAAATTACACCTTTGTCAGCAATAAACGACAAAACTCTGATTTCTCTATTCGGTCAGTACTCTACTGAGTCAGAATGTTATATACCTCGAACGTAAATAGCTAAGATAAGAAAGTTTCTTTATTTCAAGTGTTAATGTGCAAACGTATGCAGCAAAAAAAAAAGAAAATCCAACCAACCCCCCCCCCCCCCCCCCCCAAAAAAAAAAATGAGCAATGTTTTTTTCAAATTCTGAGGACAGTTTAACGCTTCTTAAAGGAACTGTGTCAAGCTATTGCTATATTTTTAAAAAGCTAAAATTTGTCTTCCCATCAACTTAATTATAAAAATAATGGCCCATTTTGTTAGTTAAGACTGTAATTAGGCATTGAATGCTTTTTCCGGTCAACTGTTGCACGGATGGCATGGATGGACGTGGATGGAAACTTAAAAAATTTTGGCCAACTTTTCAAGCTTTAATGCCATGCCTGCAAAAGTCATCTAAAAAATTATTATGGTTAGTGCCCCCTGATGAAACTTGTCTCATATATATTTTCATTACTCTAAATTAGCGTTTTG